TTTGAATAAAAATTTCAAAGAAAATGTAAACAGTCAACATTGTCATATAAAATACTTAAAATAGTTCATAGAATGTACCATACAAAATTGATGTTTAGATTAGGGACTACCTCAGGCTGGCTTTAAGCCACAAGGTTGAACACTAAGGAAGGCACCCTCATTTAGGCCCTCAATGATATGCTCCAGAGTGGTGTATTTCCTCCTTGCATGTCTGCTACTGACACTTTCACTTTGTTATCTCAATGATGCAGGGCATGTCTTCCTTGAATATTAAATCAAAACATGAGAAAGGCTGAGCCTCAATGGCTAATACATGTAATCCTAGCTACTGAGGATATTGAGATTTGAAGATCATGGTTGAAAGTCAACCCCAGCAGACTCTTAGCTCCAATTAACCACCCAGAAGCCAGAAGTAGAGCTGTTGCTCAACTGTTAAAAGGCTAGCCTCATATGAAAGAGATAAGAGGCAGGGCCTGGGCCCTGAGTTCAAACTCTAGGGCTAGCCCAAAAAAGCGAGAAAGAAGTTTATGACTATAATTAGTGCTGTGGTCTACCATCCTTTTACTCCATGTGAGTTTCAAGAATAATCTTCTCCCTCAAGTTAAGTCTGTAAGAGGACCCATATTTCCTTGAGGTACTTGGTGAAATGTCAATAGGAATATCACAAGAAGAAATGGTCAGGCTGTGTCTCACCCAAGGTCGACAAGCCAAAAGTGAAACACCTTGGTCTACGGCTCATGGATGGAATTTCCCTCCACACAGCTTGCACTGAAAGATGATTTTCTGAAATTTTCAAAGAACAGGAACCTCTCAATTTTTTTGACTCATCTCCATAATTATTATCATCCTTCTGTGATTAAAAAAAATATCAGGATTAAAGAATATCATCCATCATTCTACCTTCCCTGAAATCAGGCAGCAAACAATGTTACTGAAAACTCTGCACCAAAGGACACACATCATTACCCTTCTAAAAAAGGTGGAAGGGTATTTAGTTGAGCATATGGTTTTAAGTAAATCTGTTATTAATAAATGTTTTGCTCATCAACAAAAATGTGAAGATCCATTATACTCTAGAGTCCTCAATTGTAAAAGAATAAATGTAGCTGTGGGTAATGACACAGAACTAGAACTCACTGAGTGAACAAAGCAAGAAGCAAAAATATGTATTCACAATTTGGCTTTGATTTCTTACAAGACAAAACCAAAGTATAAAATATCTTTTTGTCTGTATATGTCAAAAATGCATGCCAATCTTCACAGAAATGCAAGATGATAGCTGTAATTTCAGGAAAGATGAGTAGTAATAGGAGGAACTATAGTGTGCATTATACACTTGTATGTTTAAAAGCAGAAATATATTCGTATATTATGTGAAAAAAATTAAAAATAATTGTAGGACAGAGAAATAAACATTGCCAAAACCAAACCAAAGCCAAATTAGAACCCCTAACAAAAGCTCACATAAACCATTTTTCTGTTAGATTTATGTACCAATTTGGAAACTTTTTATATTCTTCTAATGGTTAACTCAAGGATCTTCTATCATTATAAGATTATTTCTTTGTTGCTTTGTATGTCCCCCCCCCACACAGTATAACCCCTACTTTCACTGTATTTGATGTCGGTATAATTTGTGGAGGGGAAGGGGAAAAAGAAGTCATTTAAATCAGGACACAGGTGGACCTGTTGCAACAATGAGAAGTACAAGTTGTCATGTCGAAAACGAATTTTACAACTTTGGGGGGGGGCGGGGAGGATTGGGTGGGGAGGAGCAGGGGGAGGCTGGGAAGGGATGGGAAGGGTAAACAAAGGAGAGGCTACAATGCTTGATAAGAAATGTACTCACTATCTTGCCCATGTAATTGTAACCCCTCTGTACAGTATTTTCACAATAAAAAAAAAGGATCTTCTACTTACTAGTCAATTGCAAAAGTCTTCTGACTCTTTTTCTAGCATTAGATCAACACATATGGTTTCATTTTATAAAATAATTTGGCACTGCTCCAATTAAGACTCAGAATCTTGTGTTTGCTAGGCAGGCATACTATCACTGAGCCACATCCATAACTTTTAATTTAGTTTCTATTACTATTTTGCTATTGTTATTATTATTGTTGTTATTTGGATAGAGTGTTGTGTTTTTGTACAGAACTAGGCTGAGGCTACAATTTTCCTGTTTCTCCTTAGATTACAGAACACCTGGCTTGTTGGTTAATATCAAATCTCACTAAATATTCCCCACTCTGAACTGAACCATAATCCTCCTATTCTCTATTAACCCAATAGCTAAGATTAGAGGAATTCACTACCACATTTGTCCCAGTGACACCTCTTTTGACATTGCAATAATTTCTCATTTTGGAAATTATTTCAAACATTGTTCTGGAAGAAGTTAGTCTTTATAGCTACAAAATATTGTAATTAAGGACTCAAATGGTTTTTCTTTCTTTGTATTGTTTCTGACATATTTATAAGATGATTTCTTGGTTCTTTGTATGTCCCTCCCCCATGGTATAACCCTTGTTTTCACTGTAGTTGATGTTGGTATAATTTGGGGAGAGGAAGGGAAAAAACAAAGTGTTCAAATAGGGACACAGGTGGACCCATTGTAACAATGAGATGTACAAGACATTATGTCAAAAAATAAACTTTACAACTTTGGTGGGGGGAGGTAGGAGGGCAGGGATGGTAAGGGGAAACAAAGGAGGAGGCAACAATGCTTGATAAGAAATGTACTCATTACCTTGCTCATGTAATTGTAACCTCTCTATATAGTATTTTCACAAGAAAAAAAAACTTATTAAGGGCTGGGAAGGTGGCTCAGTGGTAGAGCACTTGCCTTGCATACCTGAGGCCCTGGGTTCGATTCCTCAGCACCACATAAGCAAAAAGAAAAAAGCCGGAAGTGGCGCTGTGGCTCAAGTGGTAGAGTGCTAGCCTTGAGCTGAAGAGCTGAGGGACAGCGCCCAGGCCAGAGTTCAGGCCCCATGACCGGATCCCCCCCCAAAAAAAACATTAATAAAAAAAAGAATTTCTCTTAAAATTAATATCAGGGGTGCCAGGCACCAGTGGCTCATGCTTGTAGTCCTAACTACTCAGGAGGCTGAGATCTGAGGATCATTGTTCAAAGCCAGCACAGGCAGGAAAGTCTTTGAGATGCTTATCTCCAATTAACCAACCAAAAAAAAAAAAAAAAACAAACATCGGGGCTACAGTATAGGACATGTGCTTAACTTGCAAGAAAGCTTTTGTTCATCCTCAGGTCCTAACCCTAACCAAACAAAAATATCTAATGTCACAATTCACTTCTCTGCATCTTTTCCAGGTTTTTCTAGCTTTTTATCAAAAGCTACCTTGGCAGTTAGCAAGAACTCAGAACACAGATGGTTTGTTTTATTGTACTTAACACCTGCGTAGTGCTAGGTCAGCATTTGCAGTTCCAAAAACTCTCTGATTATATCTATGAAGGAAATGTTTTACGTGCTATTGAGAAACATTGACTATTTTTCTTGCCTGTAATTGGAAGACATGTCTTGGTGACTCAGGATAGTACAGCTGTCAGCATTCCCCTTGCAGATATGGAAGCAATTGACCATAGGGATAGGCAAATTGGATTGTTTCTTAATTGCTTGGCAATTTATGGCCCTTAGGTGCCAGGCTTTGTGCTGAACTCTGGGTAGATAAAGTGGGCAAGGACACCTGGCCATGAGTCCCTATGTCTGAACCATAGGGACTCATTGAATGCAGCTGTCTTCAGTAGATGGCTGCATACAGGGGCATGATGGCAGAGTACAAAGCACAGAAGACCTACACAACAGGTCAAATGTCACGCTTGCAACTCATAGTATGGCTGCCGGGAAAGTGGAGTTCAGTTTGAACTTTAGAAGATGTGTAAGAGAAAGCAGCAAGTGAGGGCTACAATTTGGGCAGAAGAAACACACAATTCTACTCAAGAAACTCCTAATCTTTTGTGGGGTCACGTGAAATAGGAGAATTTCTTGATTTGTAAGATTGAAATTTGTCAAATATTGGTAATTTCATGTGGTGCAACGCCACCGTTCTCTATGACTGCTTGAAACAGAAAAATGGTGAGTTGAGAATTGGGCAGGAACAGATGCAAAAGAGCTATGTCTGCACTGCTCACACCATGTATCATCAGATCACCTTTGCTGTGGGACCATTTTGTGTTTTAGGGCACTTACAGCAGCATCCTGGCTTCTACCTGCTAGGGATCAGTAGATTTCTGACCAGTTATGATAACCAAAAATCTCACACATTTTCTGTCACCTGTCCCCTTTAGGGATGCATATATCACCCCAATTGGAAAATACTTAGATAAGAATTTGAACATAATCTTGAGAACCACAGTAAAGCATACAAAGAGTTCATGGAAAATATCAGATTTGCTCAGGCAGAAAATGAGTTAGCAGGCAACAGACAGGAGATGTGGATGCCTACAGAGCTATTATAATAACCAAACAAAGGTGTGGTAAGAGGAAGAATGGGAGAAAGGGACCTGAAAAAAATGGAGATGACACTGGTTTAGAAAGTCAATTATGGAAGTGTGTGCAATGGAGGGAATGGAAATGTGAACAGAAGGGAAGATTCCCTTCCAAGACAAAAAAAAAAAGCAAATAGAGTGATAACTGGCCATTTTTAGAGGGAAAATAGCTGTCATTAGCAACAACATGAGTGTCTAAAGCAGCAATTTCTGAGGCTAATGGAATGATGTTTGGAAATATTCCTCCTAGACAAAGATCAGGAATGCCAGTTTCAATCTCCTTATTTTTCATCTGTTTCTCTAAAACGTCACAGTTAATTAGACAAAGTCTGCATGCTTGTGAGAATTGAAAAGTATTGATTTTTCCTAGTATCTTGGAACTGTCATGTTCATTCCTACTCCAGGTCATCTCAAGGCCTAATCCTTCCATCTGTAAGCTCTGCCTGCTTCTCTTTACCTACCACTTTTCTCAAGGTCTTCAAAATAACTTTATTATGTCCTGTTTGGGCAGTACCTATGCTAAACCTGGAACAATGCAGAGAAGATTAGCATGGTCTGTATGCAAGGATGACATGCAATGCACATTCATGAACCATTACACACACACACACACACACACACACACACACACACACACACACACACACACACACACACATCCTTCTAGGACTTCTGTCCGGACCCAAGATGTGTTTTAACCTGCCTGATTTATTACTTCATAGCATCTAATATATCTTTTGATAATTCATTTCATGATACTCCTGTACTTATAATACCACTCCCTGATTGGCTGTAAGCTCAATAGGAGCTAGAGCCTGTTTATCTTGTTACTACTCTATCTCCAGCACCTGGCTTAGTACCTGCCACTTATATATGGTCCAAAGAAGTTCAATGTAGAGCTCTTAACTAGCATGGGCAGGGCCTTGGGGTCCATCTGCAGGAAGAAATAGTGATGATGATGATGATGATGATGATGTAAGAATAGAAAAAATAGTCTTGACTGTCTCTTGAAATGTTTCAGGAGACTGAGATTAGAGACAGTAGATTCCACACCTGGAATGTATGTACACACGTGTGTGCACGTGTGCACACACACACACACTCACACACAGACCTGGAAGGAGCTTCAGAGTTCATGTATTTATATTCCCACTGAATGAGGAACCAGGGGAAAATACAGAAAAAAGTCCATGTGAAGTATGTTAGTGAGGTTAGCTTTGTAGTCAGAGGTAACTCACTCCCCTCTAGAACTTCTAGACCCATAGGAGGCCTCTCACAAGCACCTACTGAATAACTGAGAAACCTGCACCTTGCCTCCTATCTCCTTGGGTGAAGAATTGGTATTGGGAATCCAGTCCCCTTATAAGTTTGGCTTGTGCTGTGTGCTCTAAGAGCAGGCTCGCCTGGGCTTGAGAGGTATGCCTCCAGAAGGAAAGAAGTCAAAGCCCACACAGATCTGGCTTCAATAAGCACAGCCAAAAAAAGACCTAGGATAAGTGGGTAACTCTACTCCCTGGCAACTGGCCATCTAACCAGCAAACTATTTGTTGCTAAATTGTGCTAAAGGTACTGCTATATGTTCCCTGGAGATACGGTATAACATTATTCAGAAATAGAAATCTGCTTCTACATGCGTTCTGTTTCTCAGACTGGTGCTTGAAAAAGTGGGTGGGTAAGATAAGGAGAGATTTTCAGAGGACATTGCTGTAAACATGGTAGAAAAATGGAGCAATTAATTTTTGCTGCTGGTCTTTTGTTCATCACGGTATTATTTATTACTGTAATAAATTGCTTGTGACTCCTGGGTCTTAAATGACTTCACCACCATTTCCTAATCATAGTACAGCTTGATTAGTTCATATAAGAATTATATTCACTCTCAGAGTTTCCAATTTACCCCATTTCACTGCATACTAGATGAGATGTTATTTTTCATTTTAATGGAAACTTCCTCTTGAATGCTTTCATATTATAAGGAAAAAAATGAGCTTGAACATTAAAGAACAAAATGTTTTGATTTATGGAAAAATATTATCTGATGTGGGCATTTACTAATAAAAATTCATCTTTCCTGAAAAGTTAAATCCATACTTCATAACCCAGTGCAAGTAGCGTGTGTACACATGTATATATACATATACATATACATATTTCTCCATAGCCAGCTAAATAGGAAGTTAATACTATGAAGCTTCCACTAAATTAGCAAGCATTAAATAAGCACCCATATCATTAGTTTACTCACATTTTAAATTATTTCCTTTCATGTTGTATAGAGCTTCCTTTTGTGTTGTTCAGTTACTTTTCCTTACAATTACTTTTCAGCCTTTATGATACATAAGAAATTGTAACAAATAACTCTTTAGAAAACCTCATTAATACAATGAAGGTCATTGTGGCAGAGATTTATGCAAAAACATGTCATATTTGCATTGATCTGCTTTTATTATGGGAGTTATAAAACCATGACTAATCTTATTTATTCTGCTTATTCTATGATTTATATAAATTGTATCTTACAGTGTTCCTGTCACAAAAGTGACTGACTGACCTTGTACCTGAAAGGTGTTTCATACCATTCTCTCGAAAAGGCTTGAAACTTCCCAGTCATTTTCCAGAAGCTCCACTCAGTGACAGTGCTAAAATGTCAAAGAGCTGAACTGGAACCAAAGGCACATGCCATGCAGAAGGATGTTCTATATGGAAAACAAATAGGTGCTTTCTCCTTACTTTCAAACATGAGTCCAACCTTGTTCATTTGTTCATATATGTTTCCTAAACACCCTGATGTACCAGTAGTTGTTGTAGCCATTGGGATGTTGAAATTGCACAAAGAAAGGGTTCCTGCCCTGTTGGCTGATCTACCAGCAGGGAGATGGGTGGATTGGAAAATGGCCACATACAAATTGGTAATGACTGCTTTACTTAGAGTGGTGAAGTAGATGAAGGAAAAGACTTCCAAGGTTGGCTACTCTGAGATGATATTTAAGCAGAGATCAAATGATGGCATTGAAGAATTCAGAACAACAATGTTGTAGACAGAAGGAAGATAATGTATAGAATCCCCAAAGAAAGAATATAATGTATAAGTGGAGTCATCATGTTTATTTAAATGTTTTTATTGTGAAACTATTGTACAGAAGGGTTACAATCGCATGAGCAAGGTAATGAGTACATTTCTTATCAAGTATTGTTGCCTCCTCCTTTGTTTTTCCCCTACCATCCCTTCCCTCCCATCTGCACAACTACATTCCTCCTCCCATCCCCCCACCTAAATTGGAAAGTTTTTTTTCAACATAGCATCTTGTACATATCATTGTTGCAATGGGTCAACCTGTATCCCTATTTAAACAATTTGTTTATTCCCTCCTTCTTCCCAAATTATACCAACATCAAATACAGTGAAAACAGGGGTTATACCGTGGGGGAGGGACATACAAAGCAAAAAAAAAAATCATATGAGTGGCGCTGTGGCTCAAATGGTAGAGCACTAGCTTTGAGCTGAAGAGCTGAGTGCCCAGGCCCAGAGTTCAGGCACCACGACCAACCAAAAAAAAAAGAAAAAAGAAAAAAAAATCACATGGTACCTTATAAATACGTTAGAAACAATAGTAAGAAAGAAAAAAACCACTTGTGTCCTTATCTTGGGGTACATTTTGCTTAACGTCATCTTATCTGACCTTTTCTGCTTGTCTCAGATATATACTAGTTATTGCTTAACATCATCTTATCTGACCTTTTCTGCTTGTCTCAGACATATACTAGTTATTGCAAATAAGGGAAACCATGGGACCTACGTTTCTTTGTGCCTGGTTTACTTCACTTATCTCCTATGTGCCTGAAGAATCACAGAAGACCACTTTAGCAACCTAGACAGAAGACGAGAGTGGTGTGGATGAGCCTGCCAGGGTTGGGAATGGAGAGATGGGTCCAATGTGTTTTGGGTTCAATGTAAATAGAAGAGAGAAGAGAATCCGGGATCAGTCTATAAGGATGAATGCCAGGGCCATCTACTGGGATAGGGACAATGGGAGAAGAAACTGACTATGGTAGAGACTTACGTGTCATCCAGATGCTAGATGGACAGGTAAAGATAAGTCTGGAGCATGCCTGAAGAAGGCATAGCCAGAAATATGCATTTTAAAGTACTATTGATATACAGATGATACTTACAGGATTAGATCGATTTACTATACTCTATTCTATCTTATTATATATATATATATATGTATATGCTTATACATATATACATATATATGTATTGCCAGTCCTGGGGCATGAATTCAGGGCTTCATGCTTACCTTTTTCACTCAAAGATCTCACTCTACCACTTGAGTCACAACCCCCTCCTCCTTTTTTGCTAGTTACTTGGAAATGTAGAGTCTTTCTGACTTGTCTGCCTGAGATAGCCTCAAATTGCAATCCTTAGACTTCAGCTTCCTGAGTAGCTTGAATTACAGGCGTGACCTCCCACCTCTGGATCGTCACTGTAATCTTTGTGGCGTTTTCTAATCCTGGGGTTTCCTTGTAAACTGAGTGGGTTTTTCCTAGGCTCATGCTTTATAGTGTCCTATTTTTCTTCCCAATGTATACAGAAAAGGCTCAGGCATATGGAATCCTAAATGATAAAAGGTTCTCATGGGGCTGGTAAAGGAGCCCAGTGCTGGAAAAAGATCCTTGAGACTTGGAGCTGGAGAATGTTGGCCTTAGGTCTGGGCTAAAGAACATTGGTTTTCAGTCCGAGTGGAGTCCGGCCACTCCCACCCCAGCTTCAAGTTGTGGGTTTTTTCCCCTGAAAAAAAATGTAGAAATAGTTGTCAATTCATAGGATGACAAAATATTTGCATGTATAATATTATCATATGCTGTTTTAAGATGGAATGTATTCTGAGATAGTTTTTTACTGTGTAAACATCAGAGATGATGTCTACAAATATCTAGATGTATAGGTTTGTTATTCATCATGGCTTCCTGAGGGAAAAAAGTGATTTAGTAAATAAGAGGTATGAGCCTATTGTCTGCCTAATACAGCATACTGTTGTACACTAACACTTCTAAGTAAAAGGAATATGTGTGTATGCACCGTATGTATACGCATCAGTAACCACCATTTATCATCCTTATGATGTATGGTGCACATGCATATTTTATGTGCTATACTTTATAAGATTAGCAGTGCTGCCACGCACTGGTGGCTCATGGCTGCAATCCTAGCCACTCAGGAAACCGAGAGGTGAGGATTGAGGTTTGAAGCCAGCCTAGAAAGTCCATGAGACATTTAACCTCCAATTAAACAGAAAGAGAGAGAGAGAGAGAGAGAGAGAGAGAGAGAGAGAGAGAGAGCGCTAGAATTGGAGCTGTAGATCAAGTAATAGAGCACTAGCCTTGAACAAAAAAGCTCAGGGATGGCACTCATTCCCTGAATTCAAGACCCAGGACTGACATACACACAAATACACAAAGATCAACAGAGCAATAGGTTTGTTTACACCATCATCATTCAAACACATGCAAGCAAACACACACATGTAATGGTTTGTCACTAGGCAATAGGAATCGTATAGAATAACTATAATACCTGTGCTCTGTTACTGATGGAAAT